CAAATGAGATTATCATGTAATTTTTATAAGTTATTATTGTAAGTTACCAAATGAGATTATCATGTAATTTTTATAAGTTATTATTGTAAGTTACCAAATGAGATTATCATGTAATTTTTATAAGCTATTATTGTAAGTTACCAAATGAGATTATCATGTAATTTTTATACAAATTTGAAGCATGATAAATCTCTATCAATTAAATTAATAATATTTGTTGTAAGGATACCGGCTGCAACTTTTGATGATGATTGCTACCACCTTTACGTCATATAAAAATGATTGCAACTGCCTTTAGTTTCCTTTTTTGGGTTGCGACATGGAACACTAATTTGTTGGAACTGCCCATCGGAAAGGAGATTTTGTTACATCCAATATTGCTATTTTGTCTAATTTTGAAGTACCACCATACACAATTATCCTTCCATCAGATGCTAAAACAAATAAATATGTGTATATATAAATTAAAAAAATTTCTAATTAAATAATTAATAATAAATTAATTAACTTACTTAATACTGAAGAATGTCCCAACTTCGTGTAGAAGGTATATCACCAATTGTTGTCTAATATAACAAAATATTTATTAATATCTTTTTTAGTTGAAAATATTATTACTGATGATTATATAGCTTATAATAATAGACTATCATTTAAACATAATATGTATTAGAAATATACCTTTTAACACCACTTAAAAACTCTATCAAAATTTACGTGCTAATAAAAGCAGACTTTCCAATTGGGAGCCTTTTGAGCGTAGAGTGGATAATAGGAACAATTACATTCGTCACATATGTTCCTTCACTCTGAGAGCTTGCATTCCGAGAATTAAAGGAGGGATTCTTCCACACGTTTCTTCTGAGAGATTGAAAAAATCACCACGTCAACATATGGTAATTTATGTTGCTTATATAAGAAATATATACCATATATCTAGAATTTCTTTCGTAATTTGCACCAAAACATCTTCCGTCCCCTTCCAAGTGCTGGTATTTGTAACTTTTCTGGGAATTCATCAACATTCTCAATACTAAAATTTTCTACAAAGGAATTGCACTTTTCTTCAATAATTGGTGGAAGTGTTGCTTGCATATGTTGGGCTGGTTTCATGAAAGTTTGACGTACCAATGGCGTTAAATTCGCACCAAATCAGAATCATCACTGATTACCTGACTGGCGAGTAGATTTTGCCATGTTAAGTCATCACTATTTATATTATTTAATGATCAGTGCATTCCTACAGCAAGCTGAGATGAATTTCCCTATAAAATATAAGTGTAAATTGTTTGTAAATTCCCATACCTAATTTTAATAATTCTCTAACATGAATCATCATACTTACTCTGAGTTTGGACTTCAACTCTTGCATATTATTTGAGATTTTTCCTTGCTGATAGGACTCGCTATTGCCTTCGATGTCTCAATATCTCCAAGACTACAAACTCCTTCAAAAGCAACATCGAACTGACGCATAAAAATAATATACAGTGGTCTTTTGATTTTGATTTTATTGGATATAAAATTAGAAATTTCAGGGAAAATCGATTTATATGGAACGTGTAACGTTGATCACAATGAACATTAATATTAATGTGCAAATAAATTTACACGAGAGTTTATTCCTATATTACTACCACCACTACATCTCATCCTTGTTCTACTGCTATTGTTACTGCTACTACTGCTTTTAATGTGCCAGTATTATATTAGTTAAATTAAGAAATTTGCATAATGCTATATTTATGAATTGATTATAAAGTAATAATAATATTATTAATATTTGTCAGTATATCCATGTTCATTCACCATATTAATATCATATTGTACTCGAGTAATTAATTGCATAAATAAATATTAATAAAAACAAGTATTAATAGATAGATAAATAAGATGTCAATATTCCATCAATAAAAATTACATCTACCTGCAGTCTTTCTTAAACATAACAGTGTAAGAAATTACTTATCTGTAATTAAATTGTATATAGAAATAGTTTAATAATAGAGTAGGAAATTATAATATAAAAAGTCTTCATCTCTAATAAACTTCATGAATGCTCAATTTGAATTGTATTAAATGTTTCAGTAAACTTTACATTACCCATAGAATCTCTAAAATTAATGCATTGGTATTGTTATAGTGAAGAATTCAAAAAAAAAGATCTGAGATATTAGCTCAAAAAACGAAATTAATGATCAAATGGCAAGAACACAGATTTACAATGAGATGGAACTGTATCTTCCTGATATCAAGAGAGAGTATTTGCATAAGAAGACTCAAAAAGCTAGAAATATAGGTGTTCAAATCCAAAATGTAATAAAACTTTTTCTCCGAGTAATCTAATGTAGAATTAATTAACAAGCAAAACAATTTCATTCCCAATTCTCTAACTGAATGTCAAAAGTAATCGGCATGAAGAATCTTCACATGTATGTAACTGAAACTTCTAGCTCAAATGATTTACCAGAAATTCAAGAAAGTGTATCAGATGTAAAAGTGCCCTCACTATGTGAGAACAATTCCCAACTTCCAATTACTACCTTACCCAATGTTCCAGAAGCCGAGTTAAGTGGATTACCTTCAGATACAATAGCTAATATTAGTAAATCATCCCCATCTCGGCAACCAATTTCTACCTTATCTGATGATCCAGAAGAAAAACAAAAGCATACAATTAAAATGACATTGGATCATTTTTCTTATTTACCTTTTAACTACAGTGATGAATATGACGATTATTTTGATTGCCCAGAAATATGTCTGGCGTGTAATAAAGAACATAAAACAGTAATATAAAAGATGAGTGGGTGATGGAGAATATTATGGTGAAAAAAATTTATTGACTCAAATGTTGGAGCTATACTTGTAGAGGAATTCCAATAGTAATTATGAAAGCATAAATCATCATGCTTATAACACTACTATATACATGCAAATCATTAGTTATTGTCAAGGATGATGGCTTTTTTAAGTGCTATTATTCTGAAATAAAAATGTCAAAGTACCAGTCTCAGAGCCAGTTGACTTAGAATCAGACCATTCAGATTCATGGGGCTTCAGGGGTAAATTGAAGATAAGCATTTTTTAATATATTACTGATAAACATGGAATCTTTCTTATACTATGGATATTGTCACTCATGTTACTATAACTAATCTGAACAGTATACTTGCCCTAGAGATTGTTTACATGAATATGAAGATGATTATATTATTAGTGATGATGAGCTTGCTAATTATACATGAAATTTTACTGTTAAATGTTTAGATTGTAGATATTTTTATGATAGTTGGAATTATGCTGAGCTTATTCACATTTCTAGTTGCATTGAGATACCTAAATATAGCAAAAGATATACAACTCAAAAAGTTCAAAGGATCTTTAGATCATGGATGAACCTGAACAAGTTCTACTAAAATTATTCAACAGGCTATTATTCCATGGCTTTACTAACCAGGTGCTCCAATTATAATTGCTTCAAAACAATATTATGGGCTAGCTATTACACAGGCTAAACCTTAAGATGATTGTGATACATATTATAAAAAAGGCAGTCAAAAAGTTACTATATAAAAAGGTGTATATATATTTTTTATCTTCAATCAATGATCAGAGAAATGCATCACATGTTAGATATTAACTTCTGAAATTTGGAAATGATAATTGTTATGAAAATTATATTATTTATTCATAGATGAGTTCCGGAGAATATCTGTAAAGCAGTATATAATCCAAATATGCGGATTTAATTAGGCTTTTTTATGAGTCAGAAACTTTGCATTCTGTGCATTCAGTCATCACCACCTTGGGCTAGTTTACAAGTTTTGACCTAAAAATCTGTTTCGTGATTCTTTTAATCTCAGCTTGTTTTTTCTTCTGCTTTGCCTCAGAGGGATCTTGAGATGATATTTGAAGGTATTCCACTGGCACTGGTGATAATAGTTTAATCAAAGTTCTTCAAACAAATCTCCACAGGGGCAAAGCTATGCTCATGATTTTTGTTAACATCATCTTTTGAGCCTGTCATTTATTATAGCATAATGTTCTGCAGAGAAATGTGGACTATCTGGAGGTTGCCTCAATGCTTTTCTTTGGGTATTTAATCTGTCATGTCATTGCGTCCTTCATGTACTATGCTAGCATGTTCTGCACTAATTCTTTGTAATTCATATGGCACAAGATTGTATTTTTTCAAGAGTTTATTAAACAATTTAACATATACAATGCCAAGATTGCATAAAATGACCATTTTTTATTGCTGTTTGAATCCAGATAAGCAACTGGCAAGCACATTCTAGGTTTTGTCCAATCAAAAGATGTTTGCAAGGAATTTTTTTTCTCCACCTTAGCATAACCAGTTGCATACCAAGTGCAACCAGAAACCCATCATTCTGAAAGATCTGTTGGTGGCTCATAATAAGAAACCTGAAGAGGTACCACATCAGCTGGTCTCATACTGAGCATTACCATACATCTGCAAGAGCTTGCATAATTGGTAATTTAGCAGTATCATAGCTTTGGAGCCTTGCATTGAATATTCTAAGCTAAAATGTTCAGGAAGATCAATTCCAATTCTTGTGCGAAGCTTGTGATTTTCATTTTGTTTCCTATTTGACTCCTGAGTGAATACTGTCAGTGTCTTGTAAAGCATTGACTACTTTTTCAGAAGCTCCTTTTTTGCATAGTTCATGCCAAAGACATTTTAGTTCTGAATTGATTGTAATAACATTCTCTAGTGTTGCATATGCAGCCTCAAGAAAAGTTATGGTAGATGCCTCACTAATTGGATCAGCAGATTCCATAATTTTTTGAACATTATTTCTCACAGTACCTGGCTTGCTCTGTTTTCTTTGATCTGGCAGTAGTGCTGATATTTGTTCTGGGCTAAACTTAAGATCTCAGAGACAGGCTCTTGCATTTTTGCAAACGTGCCAGTTAGTAATTATAGTACTGAATTCAGTAGTATAGACACTTGGCTGAGATGTGTCCATCTGGGGGGTCAATCCATGTTTTTTATGATTTGAGTTGCAATGGCAGACATTTCAATGATAGGTATAACTAGCAGAAATAGTAGAAGTGACTATGAGTATGTATGAAATATATATACTCGAAGCTGAATGTTAAAAATAAATTGATCTTGAAGAAGAAATGTTAAATTTTCTTGGGTTGTAACGTAAAATCATGTATTTTTCCGCAAAAATTGTTCGCAAATTTGTGCAGCATCATTAAAATATCCAATTTTATTGGTGGGCTGGGTGCGTGTTACCCTTATTTAGAAATTGATTTGGCGATTTGCGAATGATTTTTGCGGAAAAATACATGATTATTTGTAACGTGATCTGGTCAAAATGTTCACATTGTTTTATATAGCATGCCCCATTTATTGAATAAACTGTGGATCTATGATCATTAGGTACTTCATATTTCCACCGCTTATAATGTAAGGTGTGTTATTATTATTAGCTCCTCCTAATGATGCACTATCAAATGGAGGCACTACTGATTTTGGAACAATTAGATTTATTGATTAAGTGAAAATGATGTGGATAAATTATTTGATTTGTATGTTCTGACCTGAGAAAAATTCCTCCAAAATAATAGAGTTTGTCATTTAATACTATTGAACTTTGATGATCTATATCTGATAATTGACCAGAAACCAAAAATTCGAAACTACCTAATAAAAATAATTGAAAATTATTATTGATAAATTTAATGATTTTAAGTTGTGATGATTCATTAATTATCCATTTTTTAAAAAAACTGCAATATAAGCCTGCATTGTTTTCAAAATGAATATTCTATATGTACTCTCCGAGCAAAATTAATTTTCGATGGGGAATATTAAAATAAAAATAAAAAACAAATCTATACCAGACATTAATATTTGTTTTGATTATCTCCAACTACGTACCATATAGAAAAATCAACATTGGGTTTATTGCCACCACCATTCTTGTTACTTGAGACGGGAATTGCTCAAAGTTGTTTAGCCAATTAAATCTCCTACCATCAGATGATGATGATAAACAATTATTTAAATGGCCCATGTTCATCTTTTATTTTATTTTAATTTCAAGAATAAAGACTTGGAGGGTGAATAATCAAAATCGCAGGATGTGTTGGCTTGAACAAAGTTTAGATTGAAGTTCAAAGTTGAATTAGTTATTAAATTCGATTTTTATGTTTAATTGAGTAAATATTCTGTGATTCAACAAGTTTACAAGTTTACAATCATTATTACATGGAAGCATGCGTTTATTTTCTTTCAGAATTATTAAAAAAAAAATTTTTCCATTTATTGTTAACGAATTTACAAATCCTCGATCGATATTAATATTTTAATACAGTCACTGACAATTTTCTAATTTTCTTACGGAATCCTCGAGGCACAGTATACGCGTATTAACCGCTTTTTTAGTTCACTTCAAAGATACAGGTAGAGCTGTGTGTACGTAGGACAATAAAATATTTTTGTCTTTAATATTAATATTAAATCTCAACACTTTTTCGGAAAATCACTCTCAAATTATTATCCGACAGTAATAGAGCAACACTTTGATTTCTACTTTGAAGGCATCACTTCTGCCAAAAGTAGTTTTAAATCAGCAATTCTGGAGAAATATTAAGCTCATACAAAGTTTTGTAAAGTGTAGCAGATGAAACCCAGTTTTTTGAATTATATTATTTATTGAGCTACAAAAATTCAGAAATGCTAAACGTGAAATGGTGTTTGGAATTGTGTTTTGCGATTTTAAATTTATTGGAGATATTAATATCTCTTAAAACTTTACTACCTTCGTGAGAACCTAAAAATTTTCTTCGATAATTCTGGCAGCCTTTCTTAAAAAATTTTTTCGCAAATTCCATATTTTTCATTATATGACGTAAATGATACATAGTTTACTATCAATGCATAGCAAGATAGGGTTAACGCGGGAAAAAAATTCATAGTTAAAGACAAGCTACAAATATTGTTTATAGGTTGAGTACACTCTCATGAAAGACAAACATGTATATTTGGAGAATTATTTTTTTTTTAAAAGAAAAAAAATGGGATAATAATAATATTTAGAGACATTCAGGAAATTTCCAAGTTATCGATTATTCAAAGTCAGAAAACTTGCTCACACATCCTGCCTCCAAAGTAGTGTAATGGGCTGATTTACAATTTAGGATTGATGAATTTGGCCATGACTTTATGTCCTTCACATTGCTTTCCCTCGGGAGACAGAGTGATAGATCATGATTTTAATAATTGAGAAACTAGTTCAACATGATACTTTCCTTCGAGAGGTATATGATTTTTTAAATATTAATATGTTGAGTCCTAAATTGCTGAATCTGAAATTATTCCATTGATAAGAAAGATTCAATCAACTAATTTTCATGATAATATCGTAAAGAAGAATATGATTTTGGATTGATTCTTTGAGAAACCGTGATTTCTATTATTATTATATATGGAAATTAAACGGAATAAAAAAAATTCCCAAATCGTTTATTTATATTGGTAAATTTTTATTTTTAAAGTTGATATTAATAATTCAATATTAAATTGTTCAGTGCTCAAAATTTTCTTAGAAAGTATATGTATTATTAAAAAAAAAAAATCAATAATTAATCATATTCTATGAATTAATGTGGAAACCAAGTTGTGAATTAAAGATTGGAAGACTAATTTATAAATTTACATTTAATAATTTAATTATTCACTTTTTTTGCCAGATGGGAGAATTACTTTATGAATAATCATTTAGAGCCCCTATGATTTAATGCAGATTCTGATTATTGTTATTGTTATTGTTATTGTTAATTGTAATTGACTGATCATTCTGAATATTTGATTTATATAATTTATCATTATCATTACCACCATACCATCATTATTACTACTATTATTATTCAAAATATTAATATTACTATTATCAAGGATGTCTTTATAACTAGTATTTATCTACTACAGCTTCAGTATTACTATCACGATTGGTATATTTGTAGTTATTATCATTGTTTGAAATGATTTCAATATTACTAGATTTATTTTCATTTTCATTATGAGCTTCTTGATTCAGTTCTCTGTCTTTTTCATCATCAATAATAACATTATTAACATTTTCATTGGTTTTCTTTTTTCTTAGATATAAAATAAGAATAACAATAAAAGAAATGAGGATAACTGCACAAGATATAACTGATCCAATAATTATAACTTCCGATGGTATAGATAGATCAGAATCAGCGGTGGTGGTGGTGATTATGGTGGTGGGGGTTGGAGGTTGTTCTGTTCTAGTAGTGCTGGTAATAATTGTATAATTATATTTGTCACTAATATCTAATAATAAAATATTGGGATAATATCTTTAGTATCATAAACCTTACCTATTATTATTAATAAAATAAATAAAAATAATATAAATAAATAATATATTTATTTATGTATGAATTTCAAAGATTATTATTATCAATTACCAAATGAAATTATCATGTAATTTTTATATAAATTTGAAGTATGCCCAACATGTCTTTTACCAATTAGATTAAGAGGGTAAGTAACATTTGTTGGAACTGTCCATTGGAAAGGAGATTTTGTTACATCTAATATTACTAATTTATCTGTTTCATCAGTACCACCATACACAATTAATCTTCAATCAGGTGCTGAAAATAAATAAATATGTATATATATAAATTGAAAAAATATATTTAACTAAATAATTATACTAATAATATAGTCAATCAATTTACCTAATATTGAAGAATGTCCCCTTCGTAGAGAAGGCTTACCACCGATTGTTGTCTAGTATAACAAAATATTTATTAATATTTATATATTATTTATTGATCATTATATATATAACTTACAGTATTAGACCATGAACTTTGATTAATGTTATATAAGTATATCTAAATATATTATATAAATTTTTGTTATAATCATTTTAATTAACAAATAATGATAAATAATATATTATGCACAATAGTCATACTGTCTCCAAAATAGATTATATTTTCACCATCCAACAACATATGACAATTATAATAATCTATGATTGTTATGGGTGGACCACTATTATTTGGTGTTAAGGGTGTAAATATCAAATTTTTGGTGTTGAATTTGTATATAATTTTAGAGCCGAATATATATGTATTTCCATAATTATCTTGTGTATATTTTGTCTCAGAAACTTGATCTAATTGTGGTTGTCCATTAAGGATCTCTGGAGTCCATGCATCAAAAGAATTTGTATTTATTGAATAAACTACGAATCCATGATCATCAGATGCTTCAAATCTCCACCCGCCTATAATGTAAAGTGTGTTATTATTAGCTCCTCCTAATGCTAATGATGCACTATCAAATGAAGGTATTACTGATTTTGGGACAATTAGTTTTATTAGTAATTCTTGATTAAGTGAAAATGATGTGGGTAAATCTAGGTAAATTATTTGTTTCGTGTGTCCTGAACTGGGAGAAAATCCTCCAAAATAATAGAGTTTATCATTTAACACTATTGAACTATGATAAACTATATCTAACGGTTGACCAGAAACCAAAAAATTGAAACTATTCAATAAAAATAAATTGAAAATTATTATTAATAAATTTAATGATTTTAAATTATTCATTTTTAAAAAAAATCGAAAAATTGTGGTATTGCCTTCAAAATGAATATTTTATATTAGAAAATTTATCTACAAAAGTATTATTTCTCCGAGTAAAATCAAAAAAACTCGTTAGTTTTTGGCTGGGGAATATTAAAATAGAAATCAGATATTAATATGCGATTAAAATTTTTACAAGTATATTTCTACATATAGAAAAACAAATGCTAGTAGCTACCACCATTCTTGTTATGAGGATGATAAATAATTTATTTAAATAGCACATACTCAAGTATACGTTTATTTTCTTCCAAAAAAATTTTTTTTTCACTTATTTACTTTTCAAATACGGCCATAAATATTTGGGTCCTTGTAACAAGTTATCACCAGAAATAGTAACTTTTCTGTTTAAACTTTTTTGGCAACGGGGCTGATCTAGAGCTGTTAATATTCTTTCCATCTTCTCTTATTCTATAAAATTCCGCAATGGTTTTGTCGATCCCTTCTAACACATAGCATTCCATGACATCTCGTACTTTCATCGATTTTAATAAAATCTGTTAGTATATTTTGCAGTATTTTGTTACCTAAAAAATAAATTGTATTTTTTCATGAATACTATTTAAAGTAAAAAGCATTAATTTGTGATCCACTTTTAAAGTTTTTTTATACATATTAATAATATTATTATTATATAAACCAGCCCTTCCCTCTCACGCAAGCTATATATACAAAGGTCGTAATATAAGAATCACTACAATTTCATG